TATATATACATATATATATATATATATATATATATATATATATATATATATATAGAGTGTGTGTGTGTGTGTGTGTGTGTGTATATATATATATGTTTTTTTTTTTTTTTTTTTTTTTTTTTTTTTTATTTATATATATATATATATATATATATATATATATATATATATATATATATATATATATATATATATATATATATATATATATAATGCACTAATATAAATAATATAGGAATGCACTAATAAAAATAATATAGGAACGCACTAATAAAAATGAATATAGGAATGCACTGATACACAAAATAATGCTTAATATAAATAATAATAAATTGATTTAAATATTATTGCACCAATATAAGTAATAATGCACTAATATAAATAATATAGGAATACACTGATACAAATAATATAGGAACGCACTAATAAAAATGAATATAGGAATGCACTGATACACATAATAATGCTTAAAATAAATAATAATAAATTCATATAAATAATATTGCACCAATATAAATTATAATGCACCAATATAAATCAAATAGGAATGCACTGATACACATAATAATGCTTTAATAAAAAAAATAATATACTGATATAAATAATATTGCACCAATATAAATAATAATGCACTAAAATAAATAATATAGAATTGCACTGATACAAATAATACTGCTTTAATATATAAATAATATATAATATAAATATAATGCTCTAATATAAATCATATATGAATGCACTGATACAAATAATCCTGCTTTAACATATAAAAATATATATAATATAAATAATAATGCACTAACTTAATATAGGAATGCACTAATAAAATGATTATAGAAATGCACTAATAAAATGAACATAGAAATGCACTGATACAAATAATGCAGCTTTAATATACATAATAATATATTGATATGAATTATATTCCACTAATGTAAACAATACAGAAATGAACTAATATAATTTGCTTTCTGACTTTTTAACAGGGAGCAACCCTGGCTTCAACAGGCATGGCAACTTTCTGATCCAGTGGTTGTCGCGCCATGACCCTAAATACCCGGTGCAGAGGATGTCAAGTAAAGCCTCTCTATCCAGCCACGTGGTGGCGCTGCGCTCTCTGTCCTCTCTCAGCTGGACCTTCCCTCTGTCGCTCTGCCTGGCTTTACAAGGCAAACTCCCCTGACTGCCTCCCGCTTCCGAGGCTTGCACGCTTCTCTTTCCTGGGTGGTGGTCCTCTTTTACGGGGCGTTTCCGATAGGGGGAGGTTTCTCTGTTTCTCTCTCTCTCTGTCTCTCTCTCTCTCTCCTTTGTGGAGCTCTGTGTTGTGAACGCTGGCCAGTAAGAAATTGTGGACAAAACATGTATAAAAAAAAAAGTTTAAAAAAGTGGCTTTTGTGACGGGACGGGCAGCTTGCGGAGCTAACGATGAGGTTGAATCAACAATGTGGCTCTCGCTTTGTCAAAAGCAGATTTACAGAGGCGCAGGCGTAAAGGGGGAATAAAAAAACAGATGAAAAGTGGCTATAAAAAATGACAAAAAAAAAAAAAACGAAGCTTTATTGTGAATGTGAACTTGTCACAATGAGGAAATCTTTGCTAAAGTGCTCATTCCACATCCTAGTTCATTCTCGACAGGACACCACCGAAAACACGCAGAAGTTAAGATGTGGGACGTACTGTTGAAGCGCCCCGATGAATAGCGAACATGAGGTGGAACTTGCTTAAAAAAAAAAAAAAAACAGGGTCGCTTTTACTACACAACACGTTCGAACGCCATAAGCACCTCATCCTCCATCCTCTCTTTGACTGTTAACCGATTCAATAAATGCAGCTTATTTGTGCTTGCAGACTTTAAAACAGACGTATAAATATATTTGTATTTATATATGACTATAAATCTATATGGGTATACCAATAATATGAATAATTTGTTTTACCATGAATAAGCTGTAGCTTATTAGCCTAACATTTTGACTGCTATTGATCGCTTTAATTCTTGACTGTTACGTGTATTTTTTTATTGATTTTACATGAATACAGAACTATTGCTATTTAATAAACAGAAGTTAAGTGTTTTTCGGGGGGGGGCGGGGGGGAAAAGGGGGGGAGATCTATATTATGCAGGACTCGCTCAGCCAGTTGCCTCTCAGTTTTGTTTCGGATTCATCCAGAATGAGAGGGATTCATGCACATTTAATGTGTGAGTAGTGTGCGTTTTTTTTGTCATGCCTTCGTATGTGTGAGCGTTTCCGACGCGCATATATATGCGTGCGTGCGTGCGTGTGTGTGTATGTGCGTCTGCCAGCATGCTTATTTTTTATTTTTATCAACGTTATTACCAGTGGCCATACGAAAGATGACGACACATGAATATACCTCATAAACTTTCATCCGCATCCATGTTTTCGGGAGGGGAGGGGGGTGGGCGGGGGTATATACAGTATATATAAAGCGTAAGAACAATGCCTTACACTACATTTGAATGTATCGGCATTTATCTGTGAAAGGGATGGCTTAGCGCACAGAAACCAGAGGCAGCTTCAAACAAAACCTGAAATAAAACCCGATTGATTGATCAACCAATCATCACATCCGAAAACCGGAAAAGTGGCTAAACCATTGGACACAAAGAGCGTTTTAAAAGGAAAACCTCCATCTCTTTATCACTTCGGACGTGTCATTGTATCGTGAAACACATTTCTGTTGTGACTATGTAGCGAGCTATCCGAATTTTCATGCTCAAAAAGCCGTGGAGAAAACACTAGGATAAGCCAGACCTTGCAGTGAGATACTGTAAATAAAAACATTGGTGTTTACTGTATTTAATAACATTTATGACTGTTATCTCCTTACTTATAAGAAAAAAAAATGCTATATTATATACTACGAGTAACTGTCACGTTACTTCACTGGCCTAACTGCGTCTTGGCTGGCTGTTGTTGGGGAAAATGTCTGGGGGAACATTCAGATGGACTTACGTGCACTGCGTCTATATGCACTTTGATTTATCAGGGAAACTTTATTAATGTTTTGTAAATGTTTAATATATGACACTTGTACGTGCCATGCCAGTTTTTACATCATCATGGGGACAAACAAATCCTGTATTTTATTTAACCGATGACCTATTTATTTACCTGTTCATCTGAATTACCGATGGATTAATCGTTCTCCAAGTATTGAAGTGTTTAACCAAAGTTACTGTGAACTTGTACCTTTCAATACAGTCGATTTATTTTTCTGAAGAAGATAACTCTATCTGTACGTTTAAAAGGGGGTGGGAGTGCATTTCATTGTTTCAGTTCCTGTCATGATCAACTGCAAAAGTAGGAATAAACAAAAAAAAGTGTTATAAAAACTGAAAAAAAATCATATTAAATGCCTGTTGTTGCTGTCTTTTTCTATCAAAAGTGACATTTTATTATTTTTAAAGCTTTGCGACAGGATGTTCAACACAATTTCATTCAATTTTTACTATTTACCTTCTGCCAAATGGTATTGTTGTTATTTTTACCTGAAAATTGTACATTTTTTACCAATTAACAGTTAACTAAAATGTAAAAGAGTTCAGTGAAATCAGTTTGCAGTATGTAAGTTTGACGCCCAGTGGTTGAACTAGGTATTGCACTTCTGGTTCAAGACACGTGCAAGCGCAGGTTGCTAGATTGACGATATCTACAGGAGCGACTCTGACTATCGAGTCTAAAAGCAGATTTAAGGATGTTTCAAGTTGTGCTCTAAATAACAGCAAAGGCATGCGATAGAAGAAATATTTTCCATATTAAAAGGAGTTTTTGTTTTAAGCAACACCTAAAATTGATATATTAGAAATGGGCAATGATCCCCTCAGGTACACCTCTTGTGCTTTATTCAGTGTTAAATGCTAATAATGTGAGTCTGAATGCCATTTTACATGACATTTATTGCCATACTACTGAAAGCAGCAGCAGATGGTTCACACCAGATAAAATAAAAGGTTTAAAACTAAACCAACACATATGAGACATACGTAGTCATATACACATACGTAGATGATTTAGCATCTACATTTAATAATGTTAAAGAGGTTTAATATGTATTAATTAGATTATAAACCTTAGCGTTGCGTTGGGGTGCAGTGAGTGCTCTATGCTGTGCGTTGAAGTGCAGTGATTGCACTATTGCACATGGCCGATAGACATAACGATGCTGAGCCGGCTTCACGATCCCCCCCCCCCTTTTGCAGCAGCTACCTGTGCATGAAAAATACACACCCAGGTCCTGTTTACACTAATACCTCTTAGTTTTAAAATGGCAGATAGAACAAAAATGATCCATGTCCAAACTGGCGTTTCATCTAGCATTTCTGATCGGCACTCCGACCACACTATACCGCTGAAAACGGACATCATGTGACCAAACACACACACATACACAGGCCTGCGCTGCAGCATACACACATGTCTGAGCTCCAGGCAGTTAGCGGGTGCTTTGAGCACAAAACCCCAGAGAGTAGTGGACATTGAACAGTTTACCACGTATGTACCGCTGAATTGTGTCTCACTATAGTTGTTAAATGTGACTTTTAAAGAATCTTGTCTCTATCTAACGACTCTTCGGTCTTTTGAATCTATCAGGTAACATGTCACAGCATCAATACACTGCTTCAGTTTTTCGCTTTCACGCTTTTACTTAGTAATTTTAGTGAAAACCTTAGATACTGTTGGTTCCTGTTGGTTGTGCACCTTTTTTCCAACCAAGTTTGTGGACGCCACTATAGCGACACAGATCACCCCGCCTATTCATGCCAGAGTCCCACAGAAAAAGTGATTGACAGGTTGTAATTTGTGTGTAATTTATCTTTATTTATTTATTATTTGGTTATGGGTAAAACAAAGACCATGCGGGTCAGGTAGTTGAAACGGTAGGCTAGAAATAATTAATTCATTAAGAATTAATAAATAATTCATAAATAATTAATTCACCGCCGCCTACGACGACGATGCCATCGTCCATCGCGATGTTTCACATTAGACAAATTGGTCGACATCGCCCAACCCTACCGGGGTGCTAAAATATATTTAGGCTATATCTAGGCTAACCTAGCATTGGGCAGGTTAAAAGAACCAAAACAAAGACAGACATTTCAGCACATAACACACATGTTTAAATCAGAATATCTGACTTTAGCATTGCTTTTTAGATAGACAAAAATGTTCATTTAGCACAGGGGTGTCCAAACTCGGTCCTGGAGGGCCGGTGTCCTGCATAGTTTAGCTCCAACTTTCCCCAACACACCTGCCTGGAAATTTCTATAATACCTAGAAAGAGTTTGATTAGTTGGTTCAGGTGTGTTTAATTGGGGTTAATTAGGGAAACACATCATCATGTAGCAATGTCAAATATCCAGTGGCCTTGAGGTTTCCATTGATGAAGAATGGCCCCACTATCTTTGTTGTCAATGGTGTTAAGATACAAGATGTGCAGCACCTGGAACTACAGATACTGGAAGCCTGTGCTGGCGTTTCTCCTGCGGTGTTGCTATCAGTCTGTGAAGAGTGGGAGAAGAGGGTTGCATTGACAATCCAACACAATGGGCAGCACATTGAACACATTTTATAAGTGGTCAGAAACTTGTAAATTGCCCATGAAAGAATAAAGTTACATTAAATCCAAGCACACCATTGCTTTTCTTGAGAAATTCCAAATAAGTTTGATGTCAAATGACCCTCTTCCTATTAAAAAAAACAAAAGTTGGATCCAAGATGGCCGACTTCAAAATGGCCACCCTGGTCGCCACCCATCTTGAAAAGTTTGCCCCCTCACATATACTAATGTGCCACAAACAGGACGTTAATATCACCAACCATTCCCATTTTATTAAGGTGTATCCATATAAATGGCCCACACTGTATAATGGGATATTTTACCCACTAAAATCTTTTGTAGTGTTCCTTCATTGCAATGAACAATTTCATGAGTTTCATGTAAACACAGCCTGAAACAAGTGTTCATTTCATTTCAGACACCCCTGCTTTCTAGAAATTAGCTTTTGTAAATCTCTTTGACAACCACCAATCATTAAATGATCTTGCAAAATGTGTGGCCAAAAACTGTATACATATGTATTTGCAGAAGGATAAATGACCACATTTGTAATCCCATAATAATCCCGAAGTATGCATTTACATCCTATTATTGCAAATTTGCTGAATGGTCAGATCATAACACCGTGTTTCTGCTTTTGCTTCTGTTTTTGCTTTAACTAATTTTTGCTTCAACTCATTTCTGCTTTTGCTTGAATGAGACTTCCTGCTCAAACACATTTGTCGAAAGCAGAACATTTAGAAGACACATTTTATCTATTTATTGTCATTATATGCTATTCAATATACTGGAGTCAAAATTATTCGTCCTCCTGTGAATTTGTTTTTCAAATATTTCCCAAATGATGTTTAACAGAGCAAGGACTTTTCACCGTATATCCTATAATATTTTTTCTTCTAGAGAAAGTCCTGTTTGATTTATTTCAGCTAGAATAAAAGCTGTTTTTTTTACTATTTTAAGAGAATATTCTGTCATTGATTTATTTTCAACTTTTGGCTATATCTACACCAATCTGAATGAATTTGGAAATGACAATTTCTAAAAGCGCGCCTTGTCCACAGTATCATTTTAATCCTTTCAGCCATCCACACTAAAACGACACCCAGCAAGCATTTTTTTTTTTTTATTAAAGATATCTAATAGATGTCTAATAGACGTCTAACACAAATTTGGGCTGTCAGTGAAAATCCAATAGACGTCTAAGAATAGGCCAAAACTAGACTAGTCATCAAATAAACAGAAATGAATCACTACACATAAAATCTGTCTAATCTGTCTATTTGACGACTAGTCTAGTTTTAGGCTACTCTTAGATGTCTATTAGATTTTCACTGACAGCCCAAGTTCAGCCTTGTTTTAGCCAAGTTGTCGTCATTTCGATGTCTATTAGACATCTATTAATCTTTTACCTTTGCCATGATGACAGGCAAATAGTGCAGGTAAAAGCATCTTATGCCTGTGCGCATACTTGCGTTTAATAGATGTATGATACTTGGGCTGGCAGTAAAAACCTAATAGACATCTAAGAATAGCCTAAAACTATACTAGTTTATATGTGTCGTCATTCATTTCTGTTTATTTGATGACTAGTCTAGTTTTGGCCTATTCTTAGACATCTGTTGGATTTTCACTAATAGCCCAAATTTGTGTTTGATGTCTATTAGACGTGTATTAGACATATTTTAAAAAATAAATAAATAAATAAAAATTGCTAGCTGTGTGTCGTTGTAGTGTGGATGGCGGAAAGGATTGAAAATGATACTGTGGACAAGGCGCGCTTTAGAAATTGTCATTTCCAAATTCATTTAGATTAGTGTAGATACAGTATAGCCACAAGTTGAAAATAGATCCATGACAGAATATTTTCTTTTGGGTGAACCATGGTGACTATCCATAGTCCATTTAGCTTGTTGTATTGATGCTTTACTTGTTAAGATGTATTAGTTACTAGTTAATTAAAGTTGTGGTAATTAAATGGTAACTGTTAAAACAAATATTCTCTCAGTTGAACAGAAATTGGGGAAAAAATATTCAGGAGGGATAATAATTCTGACTTCAACTGTATATTCTTTATAATTTGTACAAGTGGTAACCTTTAATTGTTAAGTTTGACATTTTGCTGTGATGTTTTCAAAGAAACATTCATGATTAATGAACATTCATGACAAAGATAAAAGCATAAAAGAACTGAAAACGATAGTTTAGACTTTTTAGTTTGAAATTCATCAGGATTAGAGTAGATTTAGCAACAAGTCGAGAATGAGTCAACAACAACAGAATATTAATTATGGGGTCAACTATTCATAATGCATTTAGCATTTTGCATTGATTTAACTGTTAAAAGCTATTAGTTACTTGTAGGCCCACACGGCATCTATGCGCGCAGATTTCCGCAGATTTTTGGCACATCATTGAGTCTATTTATTTAGTAGTGTAAATGTGTGTACATTTTTATTTATTTGGTTTTTAAATTAATTTCAGTAATATATTTGACTAATATGAAAGTGCTCCTTTGATTTATTTACAATACAGTTTGTAAAGTAATATTTTTTGTCTGTTAGGTACTGTATTTTATAAGAGACTTGCTTTGTTTACCAAATAAGTGGATCTAGATGGATTTGCATTGTAAACACTAAATAAAAGTCAAAAAGCTATTGTTATTATTTCGTTTAAGTTTTGAGTTATCAACCTTAACTCACGAGGAAACGTAAGTATTTTACGTTTTGACAGTTTAGTGGCTAATTCGTACAAATTCGTACGAGTTCAGTCGTTCGATTTTAAAAAGGAGGCGTGGCATCCAACCCCACCCCTAACCCCAACCGTCATTGGGTGATGAGCAAATCGCACTAAATTGTACGAATTTGATCGTACGAATTCATACGAATTAGCCACTGAATCAAAAAGTTATGAATTGCCGTGAGATTGTGTTGGATACTCCCAAAATAATTCTGCATAAATCTGCAGATTTTTTTTACAAATTTCTTAGCAAAAAGAGCTAAAAATGGCCATGGTTACTATATAGTTAATTAAAGTAACGAATACCCTTAACTTTTCCGAATTCGATTATAATGCATTAATCTGCACCTTTTGTAAAGCTTTTTTAAAACAAATTATTTTGAAAAGTGCTATACAACCAAATTTGAATTGAATTCATAACAGCTTGATTGCAGTGTTGCTCTCCTGTTTTGCAGAGCTGCGCTGTCACGGTGATCGCTCTGCATTCTGCCGCATGGAGATTTTACAGCAGTACTGCTCTCTGCCCAGCTTCCAGCGCATGTGCTGCAAGTCCTGCAAACTTGCCAATTCCACAAACCCAACAACAACAACAAGCAAACCACCATCCAAATCCAAAACAACCACCAAAGTGCGAACCACAACCACAGCACAAACCACCTTGTCAACAAGCACACCTCAGTTACACACAACATCAGACGCAACAACAGCACCCATTTACCAAAACACAACAACTCCGTGGTATAAGCACACAATGGACACATCCACAGAAGATGATGAACATACAGCTAGGACTTATACAAGTGCTTCAGATGCTCATGAATACACAACAGCACCCATTTACCAAAATACCACAACTCCATATAACCACACAACGGAAACATCAACAGAAGATGAACATGCATCTAGTGTGGGCACACCTCGCATATATAAAAGTACATCAGATACTCAGGAATACACCATAGCACACATTTACCAAAACACTACATCTCCGTATTATAACCACTCAACGGAAACATCCACAGAAGATGACGAACATACATCTAAGACATATACAAGTACTTCAGATACTCCTGAATACACAACAGCACCCATTTTCCAATACACATCTCCTATCTATGACCACATAATGGAAACATCCACTGAAGAAAACGGTCAGATTTCAGTGAGCACACCTTGGGTTTACTCAACATCTGAAACTCTGGAATACTCAACATCGTCTGTTAGTCAATATACAACAACCCCTGCGCATAATCATGCTACTGTAGATCCTGAGTTTACTTTTGGTACAGACTCTGGGATGTCATCTACATCTGGAAATGAAAGGGAAACAAGCACCGAATTATCAGTCAGCTTTGCAACCCCATTGATTTCCACTAATAATGCACTCGTTCCAAGTAACACCGATTTCAGAGAGTTTGACGAAGAGAGCAGCGACACACCAAATGTGGATAATGATACGCGATCACTGACAACGGCAGAGTATGATAGTGATTTAACAACCTCTGGTGATGTGGAGGTCAGCAGCATTGCATTGACAACTTCTACAACATCAGAATCTACAACTTCCAGTACTGTGCAGACCAACACAACAGCATCCAGAAGTGTAGATAAAGCTGCGGAGACCACCGAGAGCAATGCTATTGATATACCGTATCACATAATCCCACCGGACAGCAGGTTTCCTCCGAATAACATCATCCCGAGGAGAGGCCGTGTTTTTCTGCGGGAGAAAACGCGGAATAAACGCATCCAGGAGCTGCTTGAGGAGAAGAGAAACTTTCTGAGACGGATGAAAAGAGCGCAGGGGATTTGAACACAGTTTCTCTTAAAGAGATTCAGCTGCTTTTTTTTTTTTTTGGGTCCAGACTTTATCTTGGTGTTTGGGTCAAGAACTGGAAAATGGGCAGAATATTTTGCAGGATTTTTTCTCTCTTTTAATGACGTGGAACGAAACCACTAGCAAATGTTTGCACAATTACTTTGAACATCAATAACATCCCTTTAGCAGGTTTGATCCATATTGAAATCTGATTCCTGGAAATATATGCAAATGA